CACAAGTTTTTTATATTTTATTTATATTAAATTATGTTTCATAGCTAAATTTTATTATGTTAAATGAAAGCCCTATTTCTCCTGAATAAAATTATATATAAGTGTGAGTGCACTTAATATGAAAGAGCTGAATTATGGTTGAACAGACATATAGTCAAATTCCAAGCTTTGTTTATGTTTTATTTTGATCAAAACGTGTACATTTGGCTCAGTCCTAAATGGGATAATGGGGCTTGCAAAGCATCACAAGTGACATCCATAGGTGCAGGAAGCAATAAAGCCTTACAGGTGAAGTCTTGGGTATCAATAGCTTATCTTAAAACATTTTTTTCCAATATTACTTTGCTAATGAGACTTTTCCTTTAAGAACGACTCACATAATAAGAAAAGTTTAAAATATATTTTCTAATAACACAAGCCATGAAAAACACACCCTGTATCTTTTATTGATGATGACTTCAATTTATTTTCAAATCCTTGTTTGAAAACATGAAACAATTATGAAGAAAATTATTTTCCATGATTGCATTTGGGTTTTGTGATATGGATGTCTAATGCTAAAGATCATTGCATACATTATTATGTGGGAACAAAGAAAAAGGTTAGAACCCTCCTATGCGTATTTGTCAAAGACGTAATATACATAATAATTTCTTAACACTGGAATTATTCATCATATCTGTCACAATACATAGATTGCACAGAAACTACAAAATGTTTTTTTCTTTTAAGCTACTGAATACTTACAATCTTAAAGTTGATCTACGACCCAACACTGATAAATGTATGAATGATGAAGTTCATTGCCTTTGACTTAAGAAAATGAATCAATTTTAAGTATTATAATTTGAATCTGACTGCATTTTATTCAGGCATAACAAATGCCACTTATGAATAAGAATGAGACTAGTCCTGGTCTCTTGTTTATCATTAACTTCTAAATGTTATGTCTTGTCGACAAAAGTGTTTGCACAATCAAAATAAACTGCATTATAAAATCTGCAAAATAATGCTACATAAATAATATAATTATAATACTGTATTTGATTACATTTACATTTTGGCACGCTGTAAAATGTATTAAAGAAATGCTCCAATAAAATGAAAAAAAATATGTATTTTTTAAAAAAATTTGAGTATTCCTTTTTATGTTTAGAATTACTGGTTTCCTATTTCAGCATTGAAAAGGTTAACAAGTTATTAAATTCACCTTTATTCCAGCACGGAGATAGTCTCCCCGCTACAGCTTCTATCCATCTTCCGTGAAGTTATTGATATCCAATCAGATGCATTAGAACACACAGATCATGTATGGTAATTGTCATGATTCAAATAATAGAGCAACATTGGAATGAGTGCTTCTTTATGAGAAGCATTCACACATGTGTCGAGCTACGTAATAATTTTACCTTGTTACACCCCTTGACTTTTAAGCAGATGTCCAGTCATGGTACTTCCTGGGTTATTTAGCTCAGTAGAGCTAAACTCAAGAGGCAGCAATTGCCCAGAGCACCTGTATGTAAAGACTTCTCTTTGAGTTGCATTAGGAAGCCTGTGATTGGACAGCTACAGAAAGTCTGAGCGGGTTTAGAAAGGGAGGGCTTGCAAAGGGGATTTATCTACTAAATAGTGATTATTTATTTATTCACTGAGCTGTCTGTTATTGGATAGCCACAGAAAGTCTGGGTGGGGTTAGCAGGGCATGGCTTGCAGAGGCTGCAGACAAGAGATCTGTAGCTATTTTTAGATATAATCTTAATGAAACAATGGATAAATAAATGTATGTATGCATGTTTAGATGTGAGGTATATCTACTAAACAATGATCTGTATTTTATGTTTGGATAGTAGTGTGTCCCTTTAAAGAACTTCAATAAACTGGAAGGCTCTAAGAGAGTGGTGTGCCAATTTAAATAATCTCTTTAAAGTAATAATGCAAAAAGATTTATAAGGAAAATAATTATATATGTGATTAATCAAACTACTCAAATTACCTTCATTAAAAAAATTTTAATCCCTCACTTTTTTAAATGTGATAGCCCAGTTCATTGCCAATTAACTGAATCTGTTGTTTTTTAGAGCAAAATATGTCTATTTAATTTATTCGAGTTTTTAGTTTTGCCTTTACTTATACCCATTAGCTGAATCCTTGAATATTGCAAGCAACAAAAAAAGAGTAAATTGTTTTATCATTGCTAATTAGTATATCATTATGACAAGTCAAACTAGAAGCACATTTTTTTTAGTTTTCAACATGCTGAAATTATATTGGGTTTATTATTGTGTACTATGAAAAAAACCCTACAGTATTTACTCTACTGTGATAGGGGTGAGATAGATGTTCTTGTTTTCTTTACAATGATTTTCATACCATATACATTTGTTTTTTATATGCAAATGTCCCCTAACATTGTAATGAGTGTATTTCTGTACACTTAAATGTATTTTAAACAATTTTGTATTCTTTTATTTTCTGGAATTTTCGTTCTTACATTCTGGGAAGTAAAATTACTAATAAAAAAAATCTCCATTAAAAGTACCAATTTTTATTATTTTGGGGTAAATATATTGCCCATCCCTAACTGGTAAAATATATTTCACTGTACCATGCTGATAGCAGCTTTTGCTGATTGGTCCAAAGCAAACTTAGCCTGATTTTCAAATTGTATCCCCCTTACCATGAGATGTCTGCATCTTATAAATATATTAAGAATCATTTGTATTAGGTCAAATATCAACAGTTATCGAATTTAATAGGATATTTAACAAGCTTTACATACAACTGGTTATAAGATAAAAGAAGTAAAAACAACACACACTTGTTTTCTTTTATATTTGAAAATAAATTGAATGGTTTAGTAAATCTGTAATTATGGAGCTAAACTTCAGACGAACTTGATGGATAGATTATAGATGAACCTAATGGGTAGCTCAACAACATGACAATGATCTTTCACAGACAAATAAATTGACAAATCCAAGGCTGAAGCAATTTAGTATTTTGGAACTTCGGCGTAAAACATATAACCTTAACCCAAATGAAATGCGTAGTCATCTGTAACAAGCAGTTCATTTAAGACAGCCCAAATATATCAATGACTTGATTAAGGTCTATAAAAATGAAATAGGCTGAAATACACTAAAACTAATGCGAGACCTAGCAGAAATCATTGCTGCAAAATAAAATGCCATTATTTATGAAATCTAAACGTACACGTACTTTTTTTTTTTTTTTTACAGGAAGGACGGTTAATGTTGAATCTACAAAAAGGAAATTAAAAAAAAGAATTTGATTGTGTTGTATATGTAATCTTA